TTTGTTTCTTTGCTTCACTGATTATTCTCTTCTCCTTTGGAGGCCGAGTGCTTGCCATTTTTACTGTCTCAGCAAGTTGCGATCTCCTGTAATTTCCTAATCTTATTGTTGAGACATATTATATTACTCTTTACAAGGATTTTGATGTGGCTTCCATACCCAAATGGAATATGTTGGGTACTTGGAACAGAATTAGAGACATTATTGATAAGTACAACATATCAATTCATTTGTCCCACATTTTTTGTGAAGATAATTCCCCTGCTGATTGGTTGGCTAGAAGAGGTAAAGATGCGGGTAGCATTTTAGTTGGTGTTACACCAACTCAACAATTAAAACGTCTCTTGTTGGGAGACTCTCTGGATTTACCTTTCCTCAGTATATGATTATGGATTGCTGCAACTATTTTTATATGATTTTTTGTTGTTTCTCTGTAGCTGTTGGTTTTCGGTTGGAGCTGATGTGTGTTTCTTTGAGAAACTTTGCTTTAATACTTTGTGGTTTGGTTAATTGGGGGTTGCCCAGTTCTGGAATTTGTTTTGATAATTGGGGTGTTTTCTACCCAGTATGATGACTGTTGGCTCCCCTCATGCTATTGGTCGAGTTCTCTATGTTTTTTCGAAGCCCCTTAATAGTACCCTTTGCGGTTTTAAAAGTTGGGGAATTCTACCTAGCTTTGAGAGGACTGGGTGAGTCACTGCCTCCATCTGTTATCTTTCAGCGATTCTATGGGGTTTATGTGCTTGTTGGATACTTTTTTATGCTTTTCTTTGTCTTCTATTGGTTTCACTTTGGTTTTAGCTGCAGAATTTTTGTTTTACGATTGTGGACACGGATGATGAAGCTTGCGGTTTTTCACTTTGGTTCTCCTATTTCTTTCACTGTGGTTGTCGCTCCGGGAGGACCCCCTACCACTTTTGTTACTTTTGAACTGGCTTGTGGACTACCTTGCTTCAATTCTCATCATTTTTTGGAGTCTACTTTGCTCATTTGCAAGCTAGTTGATATTGAGCTGATGAAAGGCCTATGGGCTGCCTTGCTTCAATTCTCATTACTTTTTGAACTCTACTTTGCTTGTTTGCAAGCTAGCTGATATTGATCTGGATGACTCGGGCGCTTCTTTACGTCTTCTAATGCTGTATACACAAAACTATGTTCCTATAATTGCTTTTCAGCTCATGGCGGCTCGCAGTTTCAAGAATGTTGTCTCGTTTTGACATTTTTTTTTTTGGCACAGATACTTGGGTATACTTTTTATTTTGATGGGTATTCGATTTATTTTGTTTTTAGTTTTTTTCTTTGGGTTTTTTTGTGTGAAATTGTAATGTGGACGAGGAACCCCCTTTTGAGTGAATATTGTACATCTTTTTTGGGTTTTGATAGCGGGGGATCCTCTCCCAACTCTTTTTTTGTACCCATATTTTGTGATTAACACGTAAGGAGCCGACTAAATATGAGATATGTTGCTTCTATGGATTAGATATGCATGTTCAATAAGTTTGGTTATAGCTCTGTTTTAGATTTTTCTATTATTATCTATTATCTGAACTAAGTGTTTCACATTTGAATTGCTTGCCAAGTATGCATAAAAAAGATTATGTAAACATTGATGTCCCTCTTATTTTGTAATTGTTGCAGGTTACGTTTTGGTAGGCTTGCCTGGTCTGAATGTATACTGCAGGAGTATCGTTTGTTCTATGAGTCGTTAAATGAAATCAATATATATATAAAAAAGTTATGTTGCTTCAATGGATTAGATATGCATGTTCAATATGTTTGGTTCACAAAGGGCTTAACTGATAACTAGCTATGATTCAACTAGTTGTCTTTAGTCATTTATTGTCATTGGAATTCTTTGGTGTTGCTAAAATTAAAATTACTATTGCATTAAGCTGTGGTGATTTGTGATTGATGGTTTGTTGTCTGCTTCTTTTCACAGATATCACCTAATCTTATTCTTAAGAACATTGACTTATATTATGATTTTTTAATCCTATGTGATACACTTCATCTTACTCCTAAATAAGGTGTTGTTTGACTCATTAAGTAATCTCACTGAGCAGTATTTTGTTTGGTTGACCTTTAAATTTTTTCTACACTTTCTTTTAATAAAATTAATTCTTACTTTATCTAAATTTGGAAATTTTTTCCAATATTTTATCTTCCTTTTACTATCATGCATTTAGATTTAAAAAAAATTATGTTGTGCGCCTTTATTACAATATCCCTGTAATATATTGTAACTCATAAGATGGGAAAACACAAAGATAGTGCTATATCAGGCACTTGGGAGAGTGAGTTCAAATTTATTTTTTATAATTTATGTCAAAAGATGATTGAATTAGGTAACAGACCGACAACACTTTTCACTAAAGAAGGTTGACAAATTATAACAAAAAAATTCAAGAAAAAATTAAAAAATATATATATGATAAAAATTTATTAAAGAACAAATAGGATCAACAAAAAAATTGAAATTTGTAGAAGGAATTAGAACAAGTACTTGAATAATTTCAATTTTTTGGTTATATATTAATGTTAAGTAATGCATAATTTTTAATGTAATATTTAAAATTCTAATTTTTTGCAATATTTTAAAATTTAGTTCTAATTTTCTATTTGAATTATTTTTAAAATTGTGTGATTATAGTTACATTCTACAAGGGCATTGTAGTCTTTATTTAGGTTGCGTTTGAGATAGTTGTAACTGTATGAAGAAGCAGTTGTGAAGCTGCAGCTAGGAGTAGTTGTCATTATAGCATCTTTTTATTTTCCCATCTTGTGAGTTACAACAAATTAAAGTGATATTGTAATAAAGGTGGATAACATAAACTAAACTTTCAAAATCTAAAGGCAAGATGGTAAAATAGAAAGATAAATGATGGAAAATTTGTCTAGATTAAGATAAAGTAAGAATCAATTAAAAATATTTTGAAAAAAATAAAAGGCCAAGTAAGCTAAGTAGAGTTCAGTGAGATCATTTTATTAACAGGTATCCTATCCAAGATCGTCATTTACATTTGGTTGCGAGCCAGTATACTAGAAATATCAAGTGGTATCTGAATCAAAATATGTCATATAGGTTTAGATACATGGTGTATAAGAAAATAAGCCTAAGAGTAAGATTAGATAATATCTAAGAAGTGTATCATATAGACTATAAAATATGCATATACTTGAAGATAGTATTCACAGGAGTAAGATCATCTAATATATGAGGTTAAGTGTTTTATGTACATTCAGATATATAAAATAGAAGACAATATATTTAAAAGTAAGATCATGAAGTATCTAAGTTAAGAAATGCATCATATAGGTTTATAAATTCACAATAAAAAAATGGTTTATACTTAGGAGAAAGACAGAATAATAACTGAGTTGAAGTGCATCACATAGGTTTAAAAAATCATACTATAAAACTATTCTTAGGAGTAAGATCATGTGATATATGTGAGAAGAATGGGTCAACAAACCAGCAATCACCACAACTTAATGTCATAGTAATTTTGGTTTTAAAAATACCAAACAAATCCACACACGTGTGCGCGCGCGCACGCTCACACATAGGCGCACACACACACACACATACACAGGCACACACACATACACAGGCACACACACACACACAGGCACACACACACACACACACACACATGCAATTACTAATTTCATCTCACGACCCATACCTCAAATAATGCTCCCAACAGCATACATTTTGTCAATGCTAAACTACCAAAACTTAACCCTAAACAAAAATGGATTCTCACAATGTAAAACAACATTTCGATAGCAAGAACAAAGCTCTATTTATAATATCTAAAGCAATAGAATTACATTTATGAATGTCCGCACTTAATACAACCAAGAAAAAGAATGATTTTGTTTTAGACACACAAAATTTAATGAATGTTTGCACTCAATAGAAACTTCGATCCATAATATCCCCAACCCCTTAAGAGCTTCTACATACTATTCATTAGATAAATCAATTAGTAAAACACTCGTCAAATTCCCAACTCACATAAATCAACCAATTAGCAAATGATGCAAGCATTAAGGAGATGTAGATGATTTTTAAAATTTTTCAAATCAATTTTAATGTAAGAAAAACAAAGCTATAATCCACCTGGAAAGAAGAATCAAAGGTAGAAATAGAGATGGGGAAGAGAATACGTGCACAAAGCTTCAATCAGCGTTGATCAAGAAAAACCCTAAGACATTTCTTTTGTGAATTTCATGGATAAATCGAGATTTATGCAGATAATTTCACATAATGAGCGGGGGCAAGGTTTTCTTTATTTAGTTAGCGCCGTGGAACTCACAGTGTATGTGGGGCTTCCCCTTTGTTCATAAAAAGATGTTCCACAATGTAATTTTTAGAAACACTACGAAAATGACTCTCATCAAATGTCGATGACAGCGCTTTTCAAAGTATAAAGCACTTTAAATGCTACCCCAACACTCCTCAAACGTCTGTGACAACGCTTTTCAAAACATAAAGCACTGTAAAAGCTGCCCCAAAAGAAGACTTAGTCTTTTGATTTCTGAAACTTAGCAGAAGCACAAATTAATGTGATCAAATTTAGAAGTTCAAAATGCCCTCCTAGAAAGCTTCAATCCACCAATTTTCTCCAAAAAATTGACAAGCAATCTTTTATGATAAAATTGATCCAAATTTCATGAAGTGAAGATTAAATTAAACACCTAAAAGATAGGAAGATTTACATACATAGCACACATATATTTCAATTTTTACATATGTACCACCTTATTTATGCATGAAAAGATGTACACTTATAAAAGTTAAAAAGGTTTTAGTTCTATTTGATATGAAAGATTTATGTGATATAAATGTGAAAAAAGTAAAGTTTAGGTGTTGGATATGTAACTACATAGCAATTGTGTAATGTGTATGTATGTAAATGCCTAACAATACTAAAACGGCAACATTTAAAAAAATATAGAAAGTGTGAGGATCATTAATTACTGGATCGACTGACCTTTTTTTGGTGTTATCAAACATAGTAAGCCCTCTTGTAATGCCACAAGTCTGAACTCGTACAACCCCCTCAGTGTAAGTAAAGAGTGAAGGATAAACAGCAGCAAGTACTGTAGTTGGATCATGGAGATACACTCCTGAATTCAACCAGTAAAATCACTAAATGTTGAATAGAATACAGCTATGAATTTCCATACAAATTATGTTCTATTCTCCCACTGCGTACCTTGTATTCCATATGCATCTCTGTGATACGAGAAATAAAAATCTAAAATTTTGCACATGTATTGAGCAAATTTCCCTTCGCTTTGTGAAAGTTTGTCGCGATCAGCATCTACAAGGAATGCTCACAGTTTAAAAAAATAAAAAATAAATAAATAAACAATCAAATTATAACTTTAGATCTAATAGAAAAAATATTACTGTTTGATGACAGGTTAAATGAAATGTACAAAAACTGAACAATTTAACCCTACAATAGGAGTGAGGAGAGTATGTTAAACACCTCAAATAGAATGAAGCAGAGCTTTTCAACGATGAGGTGTATTTTGGTGCAGTGGTCGAGAATTCACTAGAAACTCCAAAGTAGAGCTTCAAACGAACCAAAGCTCGATTTAATGCTTGAATAAAACCAATTAAAGTTTAATTTAAAGATTGTGAATAAAAACAATTAAAACTCAAATTAAAATTTATTTATATTAAATTAAGTTAAAATTTTAATTCATAGTACATAAAACAAGATAAAAGCTTTTTGTTTAGTTGTCCTTTTATGTTGAGCATTTATATGTTTATTTTAGTTACTAATTTAGTAGCTCATTCATTTAAATGTTTTTCTTTTTTATTTTTTTTTGCAAGTTCAACAATAAATTCATTTATAAGCTCAATAAATCACGTTTGATTAGAAAATAAGAAGCTCAATCATAAGAACTCATTTATTTAAAATTTTTAACTCATAGTACATAGAACAAGATAAAAGCTTTCTGTTTAGTTGTCCATTTATTGTGCGAATTTATATGCTTATTTTAGTAACTTGTTCATTTAAAAGCTATTTTATTTTTGAAAGTTCAACAATAAGTTTATTTATAAGCTTGAAAAAGCTCGTTTGATTAGAAAATAAGTAGTTCGAACATACTACTCATTAGTTCGCTAGATAAGTTTCATTTAATTATAAATTAAAAAGCATAATACAATATTTTTAATATGCTCGATAAAAGTCATTTTGGTAGAAATGAAGTACCTCGATATCATTACTCATTAATTTGTTAGATGATGACTTGAATGTCATCATATGAAACAAAAATAAATCAAACTCAGACATTATGAATGATAAATGAATTAAGCTTCCACAAAAACATGAAACTCTATTTGAGCTAGAATTTTATGAAAAAGCTCACGCCTTAGCACAACTTTACTCAACTCGGCTCAATTAGAAAAAAAGTAGTTCAAACATACTACTCATTAGTTTGTTTGATAAGAATCATTTGATTAGAAAATATAAAGCACAATAACAGTAATTTTAATTTGATCAATAAAAGTCATTTTGGTAGAAATTAAGTAGCTCGATATCATTACTCATTAATCTACTAGATAATAACTTGAATGTCGTCATATGAAATAAACATAAATCAAACTCAAATATTAAGAATGATATATGAATTAAGCTTCAACATAAACATGAAACTCGATTGAAGACAGAATTGTATAAATAAGCTCACACCTTAACACTGCTTTACTCAACTGAGCTCGATTGGCTTGTAGCCCTACTCCAAATTTAAGTGTGCTTGTGCAGGAGCACCCCTAAGATGGCTGACCTTCTAGAAAAGTTAAACTGATAGGGTATAAATGTGAGGTCGTTAGGCGAAACAGACAATATCTTAATGGGTGAGAGTTTGAGTTGTTACAAATGATATCAAAGCATTACACCAGCTTGAATATGGGAACAAAGTGTCATACAAAACAACATGCTATGCCATTAGAGTCATCCCTTGAACCCTAGATGGGAAATTACTACATGGTGAGGGTCATCGCCTAAATCCTTTTAGTTTAGTGGATAATTTTGGGTTAAAAAAATTGGTGATGATGTCAATTACTTAAGTGGGATAGATTATGAAACCCTCAAGTACATAATGGAGCTGATCACTGAAACATTGAGGCGTTGTTTGATATAACAGTTAGAATCTTATCAGAAACTCTAAAGTTAAACATCTGCGAGAAGACTTCTAGTATGGGTGAACTCTTGGGAAGTTACACAAATGGAACGGAATCGTCAGGTCATTTGGAGAAAGCAAACAATATTTCGATGGGTGAGAGTTAGGGTTGTTACAAAGTTTGCAGCGAGCACCTAAGATGTTGGAAAGATCCAATTTAGAAAGCAATCTTAATGCTTTAATTTTTGTTAGTATGATAAAGTTCCACAACAGTAGATGTTAACTGAAATTTGGAGAAAGGCTACCTCGAAAAGATGCTTGATTTTAAAAATGATAACAAAAAATTCCTGGTAAAAGTAATAAGGAAAATATGTTAAAGCAAATGAAGAACAAAGACTTGAACCTTTATCATAATAACTTAAACCCTTACTAATCAAAATATTGTTTGTTATGATTTAAAATGTCGTACATTTGTGTTGTCTTAGTGCAACTTCTTATGAGGCCATCCATCCTAAGAATCATAAAATGTTAGAAGACTTTGGTGTTTAAGATGAAACTCTAACTATTAAACCAAAAGGCCCCTCAATATTTTAGATATAATGAAGTTTTACAATTTTCCCCAATTATTAATTTTCTTGTCTGTTCTCTTTGGAATATCCTCCTCAAATTATTAACCATGCATATAAAATTCTATAGAAGACCTCTATGAGTTTATAATGCTACTTCAATCATGTATCACTTTGTTCCAAAGAAATGAATCCAGTAATGAAGCAGTTTGACTCGATTGCACTTCATATTGCTCTAACATTATACCATTTGTAACACTCTAAACTCTAGTCCATTTAAAAATTACTAGCTTTGGCCTAATAGGCCACATGGTAGTATCTAGGGGTGTAAACGAACCGAACACGAACGAACAGAGCTTGTGATCGTGTTCGGTTCATTTGAAATTTAGTTTTTTTGAAATAAGCTCGTGTTCGAAATTGTTCGTGAAGTCACTGTCCGTGTTCATTTCTTAACGAACGAGCCGAACACGAACTGTTCACGAACGACAAGCTAGTTTGACATCCCTAATATTAATATATATAAATAATATATTATATTAATTAAATAACTTATTTTATATAAATATATAATATATATATTAGTATATTACTAATATAGTATATTAATATAATATTATTATTAATTTATTATATATTATAATTAATAAAATTTAATTTTTTAAAATATCATAAATTTTTTATATATAATTATTTTAAATTATTTTATATTTCGAACAATAATGATTCGAACATGAACGAACGCATCACTGTTCATGTTTGGTTCGTTTAACTAACCGAACGAAAAAAAATTATTCATATTCGTCTCATTTACTTATCGAACGAATCGAACATGAGCTCATTGACGAACCGAACACGAACCGTTCGCGAACAACGAGCTTTTTTGACAGCCCTAGTAGTATCATTGGTGCAAACTTTAAGAGGTCACTCATCCTAAGAGTGCTCAACATGAGCATGCTCAACTTTGGAGATTATTACAAAACTCTTACCAACTATGCCAAAAAACAGCTCCATGTTTGCAAATATATCTCACAATTATAAATAAGCATCTAAGGCCAAGTGCACAAAAATAATGGTATTTTACTAATGTTTCTGATTGAGTGGAGATTTTTGGTTATGCAAAATAAAATACAAGCTATACATGGAAGAAATTACATACAATAAGGATTATTAATGATATGCAATATGCAAAGTTATTCGGCATTTTATATGGCTACTAAAATGGAATTGGAATGGCTAAGGAGCATATTTAAAAGAAGAATACACAGCTTCACACAATCTAACGAAACAAAATCTAAGGAATGATCAAATAGCCAAATACGTGCAAGTTTAATATAACAAAGAAAAAATAGTGTTTTACCTGTCAAAATAACTTGATGGGTAATATTAATTCCCACAGCTAAAATATCAGCCCCACTGGTGAAGACAATATCAGCAGCATCTGGATCGCCAAAAATCTGGTTATCCATATTTGTATGCATGCAAATATTACCATAAGTCATAAAATGAATCATCAAGTTTAGTTAATAAAAAAATTAAAAAATAAATTAAAAAAGGAGCAACCATTAACTTAACATTAGTGTAATTTGCATTTTACAATTTTGTTAAAAGAGATGAATATTTGTTTAAACTGATGACCTATAATTTGTGAATTTTGTGTTGTGTGTGTGAATTCTTGCTATTTATTGTAAAATGGTCTACCACTGTTGGTGTGCAAGAAATGCTAAAAAGCATGGTAGAACTTTGGTAATTCTACTGTTTTGGCCTCCACTTGTCTTGAAGCCTTGAATTTAATGCATAAATTCCAACTTTGGGAGCAATGGGTCACTAACCAATCTGGTGGACTGTCATAAACTTCTTTTTGGTCACCCCTCCCGGTTGGCTCAAATTTAATATTTATGGGGCCCTCATGCCTTGCATGGGTAGCATTGGGCTGGTAATTAAAGATGAGAAAGGTGAAGTTATCTTGGCGGCAGGCCAACCCATGAGTATTGGAACAGTTACAGCGTGAAAGTTGGGGTGATGTCATCAATTAACATTTTTTGGGAACCATGGATGCATGAAGTTAAAGGCATTATCATTGAAAGTGATAACAAAAACATTATAGTTCCCTTGCAAAAATGTTGCTTGCCAACACTTCGAAGAAACGACCACTTGAAGTTGAAGAGTTCTCTTCCTTAGTTTATTTTAAATTGATTCTTTTCCAATACTTAGAGGGAAAAAGAATATTGTTGCCCGAACGTGTGCAAAGAAAGCCATACATATTTCTTTTTGTGAAAGAAATATTGATAGTTCACATTTCCTATTTTCTTTTGTTGATTTTGGCCTGGCCTACATTTTGTAGGGCAGGGTTCTCTTTTTTGTATTTTGTAATCCTTCGTTTTAGTAATGCAAATGCACATGTCAAGGAAGTAGGATTCAATAATTGAATTGGTCATCAAAATAAATGATATGATTTGAATGAAATAGAGCAAACTATAATTCTAGACCATTCTAATTTGGCTATCCTAAAGTTTAGAATTACACTCCTAAGCTTGATGGAAGGTGTATAAAAATTTTAGATTTCATCTATAAACTAAGAAAACTTGGAATGTTATAATATTTTAATTTTCAAAGAATTTAATTCGAAAATAATAATAATAAGTCATGCTTAATATCATTTATGAAGTGTTATTGCTAAGTTGATATTAATATTTATAATTCAATGAAATGAATATAAAGACAATTGTATTATCAATTTAAAAATTATAAATATGTTGAATATGGAGTGTATGAATATTAAAAATTTTCTATACAAATATCATTCATATCTAAATTTTTATATTCTTATCATCAATTTTGTTAAAGGTCTTAGGCAAGAAATTACAAAATAATTGGGCACAAAAAAAAATAATTTAAGCATACAACTATATCAATTTGAAACTTCAATTAAATTGAAAATGAGTGTTGTGCCCGATGATGAGTAATTTAAAAACCAAAGCTACACTAAAAGATAGAAAGCGAAATCCTTTTAAGTGGAGCGGCCAAAAATATAATTGACTTGAAGAGAATTTTGAGTTATAATAACCAATGATATACATCAAAGCAGCACCAAGAAAAGAGCATGTCTATATCAAAGAAAAGAAAAATATTTTTGTGTATAGTCAAACTAGTAAAATGGAGTATAGAGAAATATAGATTAAGAGATGATTGTTTTGCATGTATAGCTACACATCAAGAATAGAGCACAATGATATTATGAAATGGGGGAGAGAAAGCTTCCCCGATGGAACCTCCAAAACTCTATATGATAAGAATAAGAAAAATAATCAAGATAGAAAATTTATTTTAGAAGAAATCTTCAGAAGATATGTTTGAATCTCTGCTTTTGATATAAATTTAGACAAATCCATTTATGTGTACTATGATAATATCTTGGAGGTCTTGTATAAAGGTAAAGTCTTAAAGAGATCAGTTATTGACTAATAGAGATTTTGTGAGAACATTTATAATATCTCGTGGAATCTTATATAAATTTTCCAAACACATTCCTTGTTACCACTATAAATAGAGCCTTAAATGGAAGTTTTTATGTCCAAAGACCACAAGGAGAATTTTTCCGCCATACTTGCAAGTAGTAGAACATTCTGATTCTTCAATGATAAAAAAAAGGTTGCTAATTTTAGTGCCATCAAATAAAATTTTGAACCATAGCAGAGAGAATCTCTTATTTGAACTCCTTAAGACAGAGGAAGAAAGAGAATAATTCCAGCAAACATACATTCTTCTTCTCAATATGCATCACTTGTACATTTATAGCAGATAGTATGCTCATTTTTCATCTTATGTAGATAAAACTGTATATCCATCATTATCGTCAACTTTATATAATCCCATTGAAGCATATAAGCTTAAATATTATGTTTGTGCCATAGGACATGTTTGTGCTCATATAAGTTTAAGTTTTACTCAAAGTTTAATCAATATTTCAATATAATGGGTGGGTGAAATCAAGAACTTCAACCTTCAGGAATGTGATTTCCACACCATGAAGAAAGATTAGTCAATCAATTAGTGAAACTACTTTCTCATAATTGTTGGTCTGTCTCTAGTACATCTGTCGCTACAAATCCAGTTTCAAGTTTAATTTCCAATGTAAAAATCAGTAATCATGCAGACAACAACGCAAGTTTAAAATGGAAAGTGGAAACAATAATTGCAGCTAGCCCTTCCCTTTAAGTGTTTGCAGTGAACTAATGAGTTAATGGAACCAAATAAGAGATTCTGAAAAAGCTGTCCGAACATTTTATCATGAAAGAGCTAACAAGCTTCAAAACATAGTGTGCATATTACAGCTCCGAATGTCAATAATGTCCAATTCTAATTGTTGAAACATGGTAACTATTGCCGCTATGAGTATACAATAAAAACAAGGGGCATTTACAAGCATACCACATAATTCTTACGCATTAACATTCTACGACCTGAACATTCTTATTTACATGCATACACTCTAATATTTTACAACACATCAATTCTTATGCCCTATCTTTTCAAAATTAAATACACCTTTTCATGCATAAGTTTATGCACCAAAGTGTTATAATAAAAATCAAATTTTGGTGATATGAAAATACATAAGAATTGTCTGGTATCCATGTAAATCTCCCTAAAAACAATAAAAAATAGGATATTAATACTAGGAACGGTGATAACAGAAACAGGTATCATATTAGAGATGAAGAAGAATATGCGCCATAGTAAGAGTCTAGGAGCTGTTTTCCGAGATGAATATGCACCATAGCAAAGGTGTAGATGGTACTTACATTGGCTTCAGCTGCAGGATTAACATTTCCATTGACAGCGAATGCACCACCAAGAATAACAATCTGCCCTACCTTTTGTGGGAATTTAGGGTCAAGTTCAATGGCCTGCCCTAAGCAACATAATAAAATAGGTTATTTAATAGACAATCCAGATACAAATGAATGATAGATGATGAAAACCTGACCATCGCTATGTTTGTTAATGTGCCAAGTGCAACAACAGTGACCTTTCCAGGGGACTGATTAGCTTTTTCAACCAGAAACTCTGCAGCAGATTGATCGGTTGCCTTCCCCTGAGGAGGAGGGAAGTTCTGATTTCCAAGTCCATCTGAACCATGAACAAAGGCTGCTATCCGAAGCTTTGTAACTTTCTTCTCAAATTTAAGAAATAAAGTGTGTATTAGAAAATTCCAACAACAAAATCTAATCAAGAGTCTAGAATGTCATGTAAAAATAAACAGATGGTAACAACCAAAGCTGAACTGAGGCATTTTGCTTTAGAAAAGTGATATACAAGCATGGAGCTGGATCGATTCGTAAGCCTCAAAAAAATACAAAAAAGTCATAAAATTAAAGTTAATTCATAAACATGGCATAAATTATTACATGTTGATTTAGTTTATTATCATGAAGGCATAAATCACACCTCCTTATTTTAAATATTAATATAAAATAGAAATTTTATATTTGATTCTAAGTAAAAATTCAATTTAAATTTAAATAATCCATGAGGTTCAAGATCCATCTTCAAAAGAATCACCATATTGATTATCATCTAATTCAGTTTCACTGGTAACTTTAAAATATTATTTATTCGCTGCAACTGTATTGTTACTATCAATTAATCGAAAATTCAATATATTTTAACAAAATTAATAGTATAATCAATTAATTATAATATATATTAACCTTTTTGAGGCACTGTACCAAATACATGAAATATAACATAATATAATGTATATTAATACATATTAATAATATAATATAATATAGTCTTTTGCATAGCTTGATCAAGGCGGTATCTCAAAAGGCTTGAAAAAAATATAAAGACACGAGGCTCGCACCTTGTAGGAAAAAGGTGCGAGTCTCAAGACTTTTCTTTTGAGTCTCAGTTAGAGGCATGCCTCGAAACATACACGTCGTACTCCTTTTTAAACAAGACACTCCATCATTAAAATGATCATGATTGCAGCAGGGTGGTCAAAGAACTATAAGTGTTTATTTAAGACAAAATATTCATTAATTACAGAACTTTTGATAAAGAATTCAAACAAGCAAAACACAACCGATTGAGGAGGGAGTTTAATACAAAAGGAGCCTCAAGCTTTGACACATATTAATAATATAATATAATATAGTCTTTTGCATAGCTTGATCAAGGCGGTATCTCAAAAGGCTTGAAAAAAATATAAAGACACGAGGCTCGCACCTTGTAGGAAAAAGGTGCGAGTCTCAAGACTTTTCTTTTGAGTCTCAGTTAGAGGCATGCCTCGAAACATACACGTCGTACTCCTTTTTAAACAAGACACTCCATCATTAAAATGATCATGATTGCAGCAGGGTGGTCAAAGAACTATAAGTGTTTATTTAAGACAAAATATTCATTAATTACAGAACTTTTGATAAAGAATTCAAACAAGCAAAACACAACCGATTGAGGAGGGAGTTTAATACAAAAGGAGCCTCAAGCTTTGACACATATTTTGCAGGGTTTATTAAACGTTATGATTTAGATACTACAAAGAAATACAATTTTGTAAAATAAATCAATAATGCAATTGTTTGAATGCATCTCTACAAAACATTGTTCTTGAAAAAAAGTGTGAATGTAACTTTATGACAAACCCAGGACACTAACTGTTTCAAATTTAAAAATACGGTGACAGAAAAAGGTAGCTTGTGCATATAATAATGAAAGATACTACTACTTTGGAGTGATTACAAAGAAAAAAAATATATATCCAACATAGGATGGATTGAAGTTGTCGAAAATTTTCCTTAAATAAATTATATGCTTCGTCTAACAATTAACATAGATGGAAGTTGTCGAAATTTTTCCTTAAATAAATTATACGTTTTGTCTAACAATTAAAAAGTTAGAGTGAAAAAAAGAAAAAAAAAAAGATAGGCCACAGTCAAATAAATCTGACAAGGACGATGATGATGATCTGTTGTCGGAAAAGGACTATCCTTTTTGGAGCGACACTCAAGACATTGAAATAACTATACTGAACGTTACCTCTTTTTAATTTAGAGTACAGTACATCTTTAATATTGATTATACTTCAGAAGCTAATGAGAAAATTGAAATAAATATAGCATTCGGCAGAGCATGCTGACAGAGGAATTTGTAAATACCTTGATAGTAGCATGAGAGCCCTCAGCTACAGGTATATCGCTTCTCCCTGCAATCTCCAGCTGAAGAAGAGAAGGAAATACCAATCATGAATGGGAAAACAATTCTGAATGAGCACCTTAAAGAGATGTCCTTAACAATAACCCATAAGGCATCAATCATATATAAATAAAATAAGCTTCGAAGTAAGCTCCGAAGTCCAAACAGACAATGCATCAAGATCATAAGATAAACATAGCTTAAGAACAAGGAAAGCGAGGCAGACCGGGTCCATCTCTAAAATTGACCACACATTTGGTTCTAAATTAACTAAACAGCTAGTTCACCAAGGTTCTATTGCCTAACTATCTCAATCCCAAACCAAAAAGTGGGAAAAAATTCTCTAGGTTCAACTCAGATCGGTTCACTAGTCATCTCAGTTTCAGATTCCCAATCAAAGAAGCAAACCAGTCAGGAAAAAGGATACTTCTAGGGCCAATGTATCTGAAAAAACAAATCGTATTCCCATCTACATTAATACATAACCAAGATAACAAGAATTTATATACGTAAACGTAGTCTGACTCTGTGTTCAAACTGAGATGTTCAACAAATCTAGCAATACCTCGAACGACTAGTTTCCTAAACCTAATATTATCCACAAAAGAAACTCAACAAATTACCAAGTGCAGAGCATTCCTTGTAGCCAGAGTAGTATAAACGTTTCCGTGGGTCGTTGTTAAGCCGATGACCTCTATTTCCGGCAAGCTTAGCGCGATAAAGATCGCCATCGCATCATCTGAAGAAAAAGATTTAAAAAAAACAGAACAAATCGTTGAAAATTAGAAAAATAGCTCACAGGTATCAAATAAGCAGATTTGAGAAGATAGATTTTCCCACCAATCCCAGGGTCGGTGTCGATGATGATCTTTCTTCTCTCCACTTCTCCCATTGCAAAGTTTGAGATCAGAACGCAGCTAGCTCCGTCTGTTCCTCGTTCTGGTTCAAATAAACTAATCCTGAAGGCGGTTAACTGAGGCTCCCCGTCATGAGAGACGTATGGCGGCGGGCCACAGAAACGACTGCAGCCGTCCCTTCCGTGATTAATCACGTCGCATGCATCAGATGATCCGCTGTCACATCGAACGGTCCAGATCATTTCTGTATGGTAAGGATCTTCCCTTGAAACTGACAGGCTAGCCAATTGTTGAGAGACTGCATGCGGCGGGATGATGTTATGTTTATTCTGTTTAAAGTGGGATAATTACAGACAGATCATTCAAAATATTGGGATTTACAAATTAATTATAAATTCTTCTTTATTAGCTACCGAATCAACGCTACTGGCAATTTGACAAAAATAAAAACTACATATTACTCAATTTCTCTATAATTACATTTATAACATGTAAATTTCAATTTTTTCATATGTCAATTTATCTATGCATAAAAATTTATATTACGCTTTTTTAAAATTAAAATACTCATATTGTTTATGTCATAGGAAATAATTGGTGGTTAAAAATGGAAAAAAATAAAATTTATGTATTAGATATGTAAATACACGTATTTTGAGAGGAACGCATGTTGCCAAAATTTTTAAACGTCACTTTTAGTACTAAATAAATAAAATTTTATAGAGTATCATTCATTTCTAATTCAAGAAATTTTTTGCTAGTTAATTTTGTATAATTTAAGACTATAAATTTCTCATTTCTATTAATGAGAGAGTTTTTTTTTTTTTTTGTATCTGTTGAATCTAGATTTGTCGGATGAATCACAACACCCGAGGGATAGAGTGTTGGGAATCATGAGAGAGAAACAAAGAGGGATAGAAAAAAAAGAGAGAAAGAAAGTGTAGTGCACTTGGATTTAGCCCTGAGAGTTAAAATAAGATATTCCCTAGCTCTTTCGCCCATTTTATTTCATTGAATGAGAGGGTTACAAAGAGAAAAAAAGGGAGAGAGTCCTCCCTACGTGAGAAGGTTTAAGAGAGAAGGGTCCAATGACCTTAATACATAAAATGGACCTCCTATTTATAGATGATAGGAGGATAAAAATTTATTGTATATAACTAACCTTATTTTTAAAAGGGGTGTGGAGGGTCTTATTGTCTTTTGTCATCGATGTTAGTCGTTCAGGAATTCATCGGTCGGTGGAGGCAGTTTGGTGGGAATTAGATGGCGAACTAGTGTGGACAGATGGAGTGGAGGTGGTCGGCTGGGTTGACTTAAGAGGTAGATCGGGACATGGTCGATTGACAGATAAGTGTGGATGGTCGGCCAATTTGGTGGCCTGACAATTGATTGGCTTACTAGAGGAAGTGTCCTGCAAGCGTTGTCATATGAATGGGATAGAGGAGTTAGGAGGATTTTAAGATGTTAATGTGTTGTGGACGGCTGGAAGGGCTTTAAGTTTCAACAAGTGAAATTTGTTGTAGCTGGCCAATTGAATTTGATGGAGGAATTTTGATGACCGATCGGTGGTCCCAGCTTAGGTGGTTGGTGAGTCGATTAAATATCAACCTTAGAAGTGTGTTGTGAAACAAATGAGGGGGTTGCAAGCATCTTGAGTTGGAGGAGAGCAGTGAGGGACATTAGTTTACAAGTAGAGTGAAGTGACGAGAAGGTGCGACGTGTGACAGAGGTTCTAGATCTGTCGTGACTTCAACAGAAGGATATCGAAGGATTTTTCTAATTTTTATTTAATTTATATAATTATTTTAGCTAAAAAATTAAATTTTCAATATTAATTTATTTGACTATTCAAAGTAAAATTTTTGTTATGGAAAAATTATTAGAGGTTCGCCTAGTTCAGAGGACTACTTAGACTAAATTTCATAATTTTTCAATTTATATTTTAATTATTATAATTATTTATTGATTTTTGTGATTAATTAAATAGAAAATTATAATATAATTTCAAAAGTTACTTTTTATATTTTTCTTAAATATCTCTAAGTCCAAAAACTCAGAAAAACAAACTTTTCATTTTTTTATGTTTTTTTTTTATTTATTATAATTATTTTAATGCAAAATTAAGAAAAATACACTTTTAGCATTTAAAAAGACATAACTAAATTAGAAAATTTAGGATAATATTTTAAAGGGTCCGAAATGATCAAGGAACAATTAGGAACAATTTTGGGTATTTTTATATTTTTTCAATTTTTTTATTACTTTTAATTATTTTTAATTTAAAAAGTAGCTAAAAAATGAACTACTTATTTTAAAATATTTTTTATTTTTCCTAGGTGCCCTTGATCACAAGAAACTCAGAAAATAACTTTTCATAATTTCCCTAATTATAGTTTATTTATTATAATTATTTTAATGCAAAAAATGTCGTTTTATTTCAAAATAAACTTAAGTGATTAAATTAACTCAAATGGACTTCAATTTTTTACAGTGAGTCAAAGTGGTCATTATTTACAATGTGGAACCAATTTTGTTAATTTTTTTAATAATATTTTATTTATTTAATGTTTTATAAACTTTAAGCAATTATTAGCTAGAAATTTATGCATAATCGTTTAAATACATTTTATACTTTTCATATGCCCACAAGTAACCTACCAAAATAAACCTCATTTTTTTTATTAAATTTGTAATTTATATAATTAAGTTACGTTAATAAAAAATGGGTCAATATACTGGAAAATTAGAGTTTCAAAGTTAGAGGTGTCATCTGAACTTGGAAAAATCGGAAGACATCTTCACTGTCATGACGAATCGACTCCTAAATTTTCAAGCCAAGGTGATTAATATTTATTATTAAAATAGTCTGGATGGTATTTAATTAATTAAAAGTTAGAGACAAGTCAAATAATTTTTATTTTTCTTTGACATCATTTTCCTCTGTTCACTGAGAGGAAGATATTTTTATTTTATTTTTATGATTTTTCTACACCAAGTTTTGGATTTTTAAAGTTTATGAATTTAAATAAATAAAAAATACCCTTAATTTTCTACTTACCCACACGACAGCTAACTCATCCTAGGCAACTCCAAAGCCCCCCTGCAGAGCGCTCCCATTCGTTGTGCTTTCCACCTAGGCTTGCCACGTAGCCTGCGGTTCACGAACGCATATTCCATCCAACACAATCTGAGTCGTATGTTCAATACACGCGCGATTGGATGCTCCTGGCCATCATCCGCAACTGACCTAACCTAAAAATCGTCCAACTTCTAAAACTAAGATCTCGCTCGATACTCTACCAAATCACATGGGACTTGTTTCTATAGCTTCATCTAGTCAAGGCAAACCTATATATACGGTTACAATCGTATGCAATATAAGTTTACTTCACAATTGATGAAAGCGAAGGAAAATTTAGGGTTAGTGGATTATACCTTTGCCCAAGAGGTGGGCCTCGATTGAGTGCTTGTGGAAGCTTCAGTAGAGTCCAACAAACCTCCTCAAAGTGTTGGTTTAAGTTGGTGTAAGGTCTAAATATGATTTCGATCAGAGGGTAATGTGGCCTTGGTCTAGAGGTAGGTTAGAGAGTAGGTTAAAGGGCTTGAGACATAGGGATTTTGATGGAAAACTTCCTCGTTTGGTCTGAGGAAGCTTAATGATGGTTCAATTTGGAGTTTTGTGGGGTTTTGTGGAGTTTTATGCAATGATAGAAACTGACCCTAGTTTTGAAGGTTTAAATTGAGCTTGGACAATAGATTTCAAAGGGGGAAAATGGTGGGATTGAACTCAGGAAGGCTACATGAAGCTCTGTGAGCAATTAACAACAATCTCTTCTTGGACGTGGAGGGAGTGGAGAAAGAAGCTGAGGTAGAGGGTTTAAATAGAGGGGGAGCTAGGGCTTAATTGACTGTCATCGACGTCGTTCATTTTGGACTCCCAGGGGGTGGTTTAAATAGAGGGGGAGCTAGGGCTTAATTGACCAAGTCAGGGGGTGGAGAAAGAAGCTGAGGTAGAGGGATGAACGACGTCGATGACAAATGAGGATGAGACACCTTGGATGGGTTTAAATTTAATTTGATCCATAGGGAGAGCTCCATGATTTTAGCTTTTTTGGCCACTAGGTCAGCTGACTAGGGCAGGGGAGCTGGCTAGCTAGCCCAGCGAACCAAGGGGAATGTTTAATGGTGATTAGGATGGGGTTTTAATCACTTGAGCTCAAGCTTAGGTCACTTGACCAAAAATGGGAAGGAATCCCAAATCAAGGGACCCTTGGCCCGTGGCACCTCTAGGGTGGGCTAAGAGCATTTAGGGTGGTTCTTAGGGTCCAAGTGGCTGCTAAGGTGGTTCAAGATGGGTGGTCAAACCATGTGGCTCCAAGTGGATTTGAGGTTTGGGTTCAAAATGTATGAGTTTGCTTGGACTTGGGTTTAGGCCTGGCTAAATCTTGGCATTGGCCCAATTGAATGGTCACGTAGAAGATTGTCATGAAGTGTTTGGGCATCAATTGAGTTGAAATTTGAAGAGTTATATAGTTCAATTTGAAGGGATTTTGACCTTAGGGCAAAATTAGGGATTTTGGTTTGGATTGAGTTTAGGCTAATGTTATGGCTAGGTCAAGGCCAATTAAGAGCTCAATTTGGTATATGGGTATGTTATGAAGAGTTTAGGAAGTGAATTTGGAAAAATTGGATAGGTTAGGACATTCAATTTGGTGAAATTTTGTCTTATGGTCAAATTGGGCTTGGAATTTAGGTTTGAAATTGGGTTCAAATGGGCTTGAATTTGGTTCAAAATTGGCTTAGACATGATAAAATTGAGTTTATATTTGAAATTGGGGAAATTTAAAATCAATTTGGTGAAAATTGGAGGTGCTTTGTGGTAATTGGGTCTTAAAGAGCAAAATTGGGATTGTGGTCAAAAGTAATCAAATTGGACTTCTTGAGTGGTCAAAATTAGTTTTGGGAGTGTTTGGAATGATTTGGAAAAATTTGGGCCGCCAAGAGCATTTTGGTAATTTTGGTTAAGTTAGGGGTATTTTGGAAATTTTGAAAAAGTTTGGGAGTTTTGGGATATTTGGACAATTTGAGTGGTTTAAAGTGGTTTGGGATAATTTTTCGGGTAAATTGGGTAAAATTGGTGTTCAATGGGAATGTCAATCATAAAAATACCCTTATAGTGCCATGAGACCAAAGAAATTTCATTTTGGATCCTCCATATGTTGGTTTTATCCAAATACTAGCCTAGGGCTAATAGTTTGGGGGACCATCCGCATGAGTTTCCAAGAGAATGGTGAAACCAAGTTAAGTATGAGTAGGTTAGGGTTGAGGTTGTGAGTGAAGGTGAGGGTTTGAAGTGTGTGCGTGCAAAACTGACCAAGCCCACACCACCTAGAGCTAACTTTAAGGCCAAACAGTCCTATGGGGACTATTCTTGAGCTCCCTTAAGTTATCTCCACCTACCAAGTGCTAGAGGTTAGAAGAAACATGTAGAACTTCAAGAAAAGTAAAGAAGTATGTAAAATTTATAATGAGTAGGGTTCCATCACTTGTCCTTTAGGAATAATCAACAGGAAATTCTATGACAAGATCATAGGCTTTTAAGGAAGAAAGACTAGACCTCAACAAAAATTGAGGTCAACAGAGCCTCTTTTGTGCATATTTTTGCATTCATATAACTGTGCGCATAGCTTGAAATTTTAAAATTTCATCCAAAATACCATATTTTGTATGCTTCATTGATCAGCCACCTCGACTCAATCAAATGTTCCTAGTCGATCGACCACCTACACTGGTTCAATTGTTCATTTTCATTGGCTTCATTGATCGACTGCTAAAGGCCCGATTGGCAAAAACGTAGTTTAAACTAGAAAGATGTCTAGCAAGACCAGTGGGAAAATACATATTTCATCGATAGCTTTCGAAGAAGATGCAAAAACGTAGCATACCCAAACAGAAAAAGCTACTGTGCGATATCACACCGCCACCCCAAAAGGGCCCTAAAAAACAACTGTGAAGTGTGAAGCTACATAATAATAATCTTATTCTCAAAAAGCTGTGGCGGCTATTACAATTTTTTTCTTAAAAGCGGACCACACCTAGATTGGAGTGGAGGGAAAATAAAGATTTCAACTGCAAATTTTTGAAAAGTTATCAAAATGCACTTTACCTAAACAATCAAAATAGTGATGTGGTGTCAAGCGCCACCGAGCTGCCGCCTTAAAGGATCCTACATTAACACAAATTTAAGTGATAATAACGTAATTTTCTGTAATTGAATGACATATATAGTATGTTCTTGTAATGTGATTGCCCTTCTTCATCTTTTTTTCTTTTAACAGCCCGAGAAAACTCTTTTTTTTATGAATACCAACTTGCACCGGGGCCTTCACTACTTTCTAGTCAAAACACTGTTCTGGATTCATTTGATGTTGGAGCCACTCCAAGCCGTGGAGGGTAGTTTCACCTTTGCCGCTTGCTACTGTCGGATCCGTGAAGATCCGCGTAGGCATTTTTTTGGCATACATAGAAGTCCCCAGGATTTTTACTTCTCAGAAGTGAAACTGCGACGTGAATAAAAGACTTTCAAATATAAAAAATAACAGCACTAATTATACTCCCTTGAATTTCATCAGATTTTTATGCCCTGTATGTCAATTTTGAAGGCTCATACGGGGAAGATTTTTGATGTCGAGGGGGAGATGGAAGGCCTCCACATGGAACTCCAAACGACTACCTAAAACTTAAGGAAAGGTGCAAAAGGTTTCTTTTGTTTTCTTTTGACATTTTTATCTTTGCCATGTTATTTTCCGACGAAGTAGCTTAGAGACTCAGCTTAAGTCTTATGATGCCTGTCCGTTTTGCATGGTTGGATCATCGTCTCGATTGGATCACGCCTTTCGCGAGGTCTTAGGTGCATCTTGTCACTGCCTTCACGAGATAACCATTAAGAATTATTTTTGGGGTGATTTGTGGCATACCATCTGTAGATCCTATCAATTTTGGGCAATGAACCACCTTCAGAGCTTTTTCTATGTTGAATGTAGAGACGGGCTCCTTTATGTTTGGTTATTTTCATTTGCTCGTCTTGAATGAGAGTCTTTTAAAAAATAATAGTAACCCAAAATTAAAAAAAAGTGATTAAAATAAAATGATCAACATGTATGAGTAGGTGAGGAACCTTTCAAAAAATTTTTGATAGCACTTAACAATGCTTTCTAAGGCAAACTGCTGAGGAAAATCATGCAAAATTTGACCACTTTCATAGGAAAATAAACAAATGGTTAATATAGTGGTGGTTAAATATCTATTTAACAATCTTTTTAAGCAGCCAATACTATGCTTGTAAGCTTAGCACTTGGTCAAATAAAACAACGGTCAGATGTGCAAACAGAACTTTAGATTGAAAATGTTAAAATGTTTTTTTTCTCTTAAATTTTTTTACAATATGCAAATAGAGTGAAAGTTTCAGCTGTCTTTTACCTTTGATTTAACATTTTGTCGTTGCCTGATATGACCGGTTAGTTGGCCAAGATGGTCGGTCGAATGGTGGACATGGTCGACCAGTCGGTTAAGCCTTGGAGAGGTGCTGATAAGTGCATAGTGAGGTGTCGGAGGTTGTGGTTTGATGCAGATCTTGTTGATAGGAACTACTGTGAGTTGGATGCTCACTGGTGAAGTGGTTGTCTACCGGTCGATGAGGTTGTCAGCTGGAGGAACTAAGTGGTCAGTCGGAAGCTGGCCGATTGGACACGTGTGAAGGTATAAAGATTGAGTGGCATGTTTGTATATACCCTCAACGACAAAGAGTAGTTTAATAGGTTACGATGGAAAGTGTCGACAAAGTGTCGACGAGATTAGAGGTGTGTAAAGAAAAAGAAAAGGGGGGAAGCGAGACAAATGACATTGAAAGTTAAGTAGTGAACCTCAAATCCGATAAACACATCTTAGATTTCTGTAATTCACTATTTAAGCTAAGGATTCGACAATAACAGAAGAATGAATCTATTGTAGTTTATAATCAAGTTCTGAGTGTTCACTTTTTGGACTAGTTAGAGTCATTGAGTATTCGCCAAACTTCATTTGGAACGTGTTCGGGTTATGAATCTATTGTTGTGTAGTTTCACTTGAGAGCTCCTTGCTATGAATGCCTTTATGTAGAGTTTTTCCTCGATGTTGCATCTCTTCTTGTTTGACGGTGTGATTCATGCTCATGCTCAACACGCGCATATTGACTCTAAAACGATCGAAATACACACTCAAGGAATAGAGCAAAAGAGAAAAAAAAGCTAATAGATAGAAAACAGTAATGAACAGTAAAAAACACTTATCCTTTATTCAAAATAATGACTATTTATAGATAGGCATAAGAGGTGAGGATTCAAGATTACAGGCTTGTTTGACACAACGCGCATATTGATTCAATATTTTTTTATAAATATTTTGTAATAGTCTCACACTTTCTTGAACAACAAATCCTTTTCAACAGCTTAACATCTATTTCTTTAAATAACTACAACTACCTCAAATATAATCTGAATAACCAAATGTAATATATTCTCATAATCCTCTGATTCTCCATTTTTTCTTCTTTTATTTGAAAACATGGCAAGAAAGCACTTTTTTAAAGGGATAATTACATCTTGAGCACAAGAAATATTAGTATTTATAAATCAAATACATGGGTGTATTTATGTGTGCTGGCCATTAAATTATTGTGAATTTCATAAAAATAAAAAACTTGAGTTGAAAATTTTATCATGATATTATATATTTGAGTTAGAACTTAAAAAATAGGTGAAAGGATATGCTTGATTTGTAAATGACAATATTTTGCCTCCATCTAATCGCCGCACCGGGGAGTCCACACGTCCATCCGGTGTAAGAATCTGTACCATTGCTACTTATCAAAACACCGTCCTGAATCCCGGGAATAAACCCTCTCTTCTCTTCTCTGATTCCCTTCTCTCCAGCCTGCAGATGTACTGAGAGGGCTCCTTTGTTCCTTTTAGTTTTGTCCTTTGCTTCCCGTCGATCTAAGAGTTCGTTGACCGTCTCTGTCTCCTCTCTCAAGCTCGAAAGAACAGAAGATGCCAGCTTCAGATAAGTTATCTTTCTCTGAGATCTCAAAGCACACCTCCAAGGATGATTGCTGGCTGATAATCCACGGCAAGGTCCAATCTTTTCCAGGTCCAATCTTTTCCCTACATCTAAAATCTTTCCATTTTTTCCACCCTATTTAACGAGTAACTTTGGTATTTCTCACAATTATCTTTTTTATTTAACTAAAAATGTTTAACCTTTCGTACCAAAAATCATTTTTTTATGATCCTTTAGGTTTATAATGTCACCGATTTCCTAGAGGATCATCCAGGAGGAGATGATGTTCTTCTTCAGGCAGCAGGTAGATTCCTTCCCTTCATCTTCTCCCCCTTCTACCTTCTGTGATCACTATTTCACGCTCTTTAGATTCCAAGATCGGTTTTTTATCCCTTTGACCGATTTCAATTAAGAATTTTTTGCTTCACCGATTCTAAAATCATTATCTTACTGCTTCTTTAAGCTAACGGTGATGCGACCCAGTCATTTGAGGATGTGGGCCACAGCTCCACTGCAACCAGTATGATGGAAGGATACGTGATTGGATCCATTGATGGAGACCAGGTCCCAAAAGTCATTCAGACTGGAACTGCAGATCCTCATCTTGCCGATAAGCCTCAAGAGAGGAAACTTGCGACTTCTTCCACCAATTTCACCGATGTCCTGTTTCCTCTGCTCATCCTGGCCTTAGCCTTCGCTGCATGGTACTACCTCACCTACATTAATGTCAGTGCTTGAATGACTCTTCTATCTCACCATGTTTCCACTTGTTCTGTTTTAAGAGTTGTGTCAGTATTTCTTCTGAAAGGTGAAGACTTTAGGGATATATGCTCATAAATTGAAGTTTTTGTCTTCTAGATTGGGGTTGGAGTTTGAATTTATGATGAAATAATTTCAATAAAGCCGTTCAGTTTCTTTTATTGTTATGTTCAGCTCAATGGAGCTCAATGACTGTGAAGAAGTGGCTTTAATATAGTTATTAGTATTATTCATATTAAATACTAAAGGAGGAATGCTTATGTGTGGTATCTTGAACATGCCATTGGTGTTGGTATGAGGTAGTTGAATTTTGTCTTTCTTTTTCGTTGCAATGAGTGGATGGGTTGTTGGAATAGAGAAGTGCTGCACACCATATAAATGACTTCAGCGGCCTGCCTTCAAGCTTATCTTCTGGGGCATTTACATACAGACTACACAATTCTTATGTATTGACATATCTAACATCTAAACTTTGTTTTTTACATTTATACCCCCTAAATCTTTCACATCACATTAAAAGTACCACTATTTTTTGACTTCTAAAAAGTGACACACCTTATATTTTGAGTGGTATGTAAATAAATCTTCCTTCTATTTTTGCCAACAATCTGTTTGAAGAAATGCTTGAAAAAGCATTGCATTAACAAAAATTAATTGAATTTAATGTAGCTCATCATCTTAGGGTTGTAAACCTCCACATTCAAATAACAGTGAAATCTGTAAGGACGACGAAATGACAGCCATAAATTTAGCAATACCTTATAAAATTCTTTGTATATCTATTGCATGAATCTTGTTCCTTTATTTTTCACTCTCATTAGCTGAATTAGATTAATTGAATCCGTTATTTTTCACTCTCACTTCTCAAAACGTCTAAGCTTGCATGCTACTATAGTTTAATGAGCTTTTGTTTCATTATAGTAGGCCTTGCTGTAGTGAAACATGAGTACTAACAGCAAAGGCTGATTGATGCCATAAACCTTGAATTCATTTAACTCCAATAATGTTATGTTGCATCTTTCTTGAGATTATTATCAAGCTTTTCGCGGTGCTTCAATTGATCCATAAAATAAAGGGTATTTACATACATTTCACCCGATTCCTATGTACTTCTCGTTTTTACATTTATACCGCCCTGTCTTTCACATCACATAAAAAATATCACTATTATGACTTTTAAAATGTGAAATACACCTTTTCACGGATATGTAAGGCGGCATATATGTAAAAATTAAAGTTTAGGTGTTAGATATGTAAATACGTAGGAATTGAGTGCTATGTATGCAAATGCCTCTGAGTCTTATGGTTGTGTTTCATTTGTGTTGATTAGTGTCCATCTTCAAGTATTTCATACTTGAATCAATTGCTTCCTGAGGTTTGTAGCTCCACGCTTCTTTGTTTTTATTTTGATTTTTTATCTTCTTGGAAGTTAGTAACTTCTATCATAAAAGATAGAGTTGCAATAATATTCTCCATTAGTTTTCACATCAAAATACACTGAAAGAACGGAGAATCATCTCACAACACTAAATGAAACAAAGTTTAATGGGGGATTTACCTACATACCACACTATTCTTATGTATTTACATATCTAACAACTAAAGTTTAATATTTACATTCTTAACACTCAAATCGTTTATATCACATAAAATATACCACTTTATTAACTTTTTAAAAGTCAAATGCAATTTTTTATGCAATAGGTTTATAGCAAAAAAAGCATTATAAATGTAAATATTAAACTTAAGGTGATAGATATATTTCCATATCTAGTGGCATGCTGTTACACATTACTCAAGTCTTTTGTGTTCCAACCCTTAAAACACAATCAGCAATTCAGTTCCATTCTTATCTTTAAATCATATGAAGCTTCGAGGCCAAAATAGGCATTCTTTTTTGAGAAATTAACGGACTTACCACACATATCATATGTGTTTACATTCTAACACCTGAACTTTCGAATTTATATTTACAACCCTTTGGTGCTATAAAGCTATGTATAAAATGGTGTACTTCACTTTTTCAAAAGTAATTAAGTGGTATTTTTGATGTCTATATTTTATATCATGTTAAATTTTTTAGTGTTATGCATGTAAATATGAAAATTTGGGTGTTAGATATGTGAATACATAAGAATATCGTGTGCTTGTGCTTATGTATGTAAGTGCACCTTCTTTTTTTCTAGAATAATCAGATAGTTCTTCTCATGTCATCATTCTCTCCCACTAGAGTCTGCTTTGGGAGAAATATTTGTGTACATAAGATGTACGCAGCGCTGCGTACAGCGCTGCGTACATCAGAGATTCTGGGGGTACAGGGGAGTTATATCCGGGTTATACCGGAGGTTACAAGGGGGTATAACCCAAATATAACCCCATTGTACCCCCTGAATAACCCCTGATGTACGCAGAGCTGCGTACATCTTATGTACGCAAATATTTTCCCTGCTTTGGTTGATCTCAATAGATTGGTTATTTTTTTATTCTCTGGACAGAGTGAACCTGACAGCTTAGTATTCTCATTTTGCTCCAACCAACATTTGAGCGCAATGTTAGTTTCCTAAAAGCCTTAATTCAACTGTTGAATTCAAAATTTCTTGTGGGCATGCCCAAGGACCTGAACTGAGTAAGAGAGGAGAGCCAAAATATACGAGTGATTCCCGGGTCATTATGTCTCGCAACGGATTTTAACATTAAAAGTGACCAGTATGCAAATTAAATGAAGAACCAGTGAAAATATCATCATAATTTTAGAAAAAATACAATTAGTAAAAATATCATACCATACTTTCATACCAAAATATCTTGCCTCTTGAATTATCCCCTTACTAGAAAATTTTACTTAAATTTACTGTTACACTTATAGAATCAAAAAATATACTTCTCCAAAGTTAACACCACATACACAGACTATGTTAAAATAAATTTTCTTTCAAAAATATAGTTTCTTGAGGACAAAGTTTGGTTTAAAAAAGTTTTTCTCCCACCCCAAAACTTAAATTTTTAATGGTTTAAAACATTTTAGTGAAAAATAAGCTTGAAGAAAGAAAGAAATCAACAAAATTATCGATCACATTGTTCTAAACATGTAAACATTGCAGGTACAAGTAATAGCAACAGGTGTGTATAAGGAAGTAAATCACAATTTAAAATATGTTTTCATAAAAAAATGCTAAGTAAAGAACTACTTACATACACAATCAATATGTATATGAACTGGAGCAAAAATAAATAGTGGTGCAATAGAGTAAAGAGCTTCATACGTCAACAGACAATAAGTCCATTACAACCATAAACATCTATACATATCAAAGAACAACAAATTCATCTAGGTACACTAATAAAAATCGATTACTCCTCACCATATCATCCTCATCCATATCCATATGACGCAGATCATCAAATCTCAGATAATCAGGATAACCGGGGAATTCTACAGTCTGATCTCCCTTGAGATAACTGACAAGAGATTTATGAAATCCCTTCTCATAGTTACTATGTCAATGGAGATAAGAGTCAAAATGATCCTGACGACCTTCATCTCTCAGAACTCTGCTTCGAAAATAGAATTACCATATTTTACCTTTTGCATACTATCAAATAAAGATTTCATGCTATAAGGAGTATGGGATGTAGAGGCATGAGATGAAGATGGAGCATCAGAAGATCTAGTCTCAAATCCGGACACCACGTTTCCCTTATATATCCACATTAGCCTTCCCAATAGATTTAAGTGGATGCATTATCTCCTCCCAAGACACAAATCTAACTCCAGATTGACTGCATAAACTAAATATGAGAGAAGGGTAGCCTAAACCTGTTGTAGTCCCTCCCTTAGAGGAATGAATAATGCTTTTATAAATCAGGGAGCCAATGTTGATGGGCTTCATCAACTGGATGCAGAAGTTGAGAATAGCCCTCTCCCGGGTTACTTCACTCAAATGGTTTGAAGGAAGAAGGCAAGCAAAGATGAAGTAATGTTATGCCTTTGATTAGACATTAAGTACAGAAGAAGCAAAATTTACCTTTCGATTGTTCCTAGTCTTCCAACATCCACCTCTATCAGTAAAAAATGCTATAATCTCCTCAAGTTCTCCCTCAATAGGTTCAAACTCTGTGTAAAAGTTGTCAATTATATCAGGTAACTGAAATAATGTATTGATCCTTATAGGATTGAAATCTACTAGATTTTCCTGAACAAACACCAAATCATCAGTCTCCTCGGGTAGATTAGCATAAAACTCTCAAATTATAGAAATGACGGCATCGACAGAAAAATAACAAAATTTCTCCCAATTCCAAACTACAATAATACACTCCACAGAACCATTAGGAGAAAGAAATGCTCGCTCTTGAATCAATTTCTTAGAAACAAGAAGATCACTGTAACAATCTTGTGCTTTTCTACTCACAAACTTCTTGGGATCAAAAGTATCTTTGCCTTTGTTTCTCTTCAATTTAGGAGCCATAATTAAATCTATAAAAATCTGAAAAATCCAATTAAAATCCATATATTCCTATAAGTGTTTTCCAAGCAAAAATTTTCATGGATTTTTCACCATTATCAGCCAAAATTTCAATTTTCGAGTACTTTATAATGTGGAGAAAATACATGGTGAAAATTGAAAATCTCAAAGGCGAAGTGAAGCTCTTACCCAAATATAATGAATTCCAAAGGGTAGATTAGCATAAAACTCTCGCTTAACTTGGAATGCAGATTCACCAACTCCTCAATCTTTACAAGTTTCTCCGTTACTCCTTCTAGGCTCAGCACAAGGAATACATTGAAGTATGTTCGAGCTTCCTTGTGCATTAACTTATTTTCATCCAACGTACCATTATTCTTACTCTCCATGGATCTTGAAGCAATGATCTCAAGGTAGGGGTGTTTCTTCCTCTCCTTTCCTCCTCTATAACACGTAGAATTTTGAAGTACATGTCCCAATGTCGCTAGCCAGAATGTTCTTCTCTTGAAAATTCTTGTTGTTTTGGATTTAATTTAATATGTATATATAATTTTATGAAAATAATATTTTAATTTTCAAAAATTATATTTTACTTTAGAAAAATGAGACTAACAAGATTTCATTCATTTAATAGTTTAAATAAACAAGCACAATACCACGAGCAATGCACCTATCTCGAATAACAGACATATTACTAGATAGTGGGGCGACTCAATTAAATAAACTAATGAATTCATGACATCTGTTGGGTTCGTGAAACTTTTTATTTTGACC